TAAAAAGCTGTTTTGCAAAAAAAAAAAAAAAGAAGCGAAAACTAAATACAGTTAAAAAGTTGTAAAATCTTTAAAATTAAGGTGCAGGGAATTAGATTTAAACATCAAGAAAAGGTGTTATTGAAAGCTTTACTCCTGGCCAATCAAATATTTGTGGAGCCCTTCTTTAACATGTATGTGCTGCATCATATACAACACTACTGCTGAGACACTACAAATTATCAAATTACTGAGTAATCAAACATACCGAGAGAATAAACAAAAAAATTACAATTAAGTGGTTCGGTGAGAAAACAGTTTGCATAAATATATAAAGATAAAATAAAACCAGAAATGTTTAAACTCTAAGTTGCAAACGTCTACAAGAGAACCAGAAAAATATAAGTTAACATTTACCTAATAACAACACTACAGATACATAATACTTTCAGAAACCATTAATAACTAAAACGGACGTAGAAATAACCGATAAAGCATGCAGGGCGGTCAACTCTCACACTTTGGGAGTGAGACTCACCCATCGAAGGGTCTTCACACACTCACACTAAAAAATGACACACATTAAAACTCTGTTCCACTTATTTATGTATAAACATCATGGTGATCAAAATCCAGTCCGCGTTTTTAATACAACCTTAGTGCTAACACAGTAGGACAAGGCAGGTTCATCCAGTCTGTATTCCCACCTATTCACTGTGCCAGATATTTTAAAAAGACAGTTGTTTTGAGATATGTCATTTTAATTTTTATCTTATCTAATCTGGACAAGGATAATTCTCTTTGTAAGTTATTGAAGATTTTAAGCAATCGAGTACTTGAGTAAATATGAATAAAAAAATACAGCAGCTAGCTTAAATTATTGATACAGAGACTGAGTGTAGGATCACATCAAATGGTTTTTCTCTTTACCTGGTGCCTTGTTTAGTCCCAGTTTTAGTCCATGTTTTGTTCCAAGTTAAATAATTATTGCTCAGTCTAGTTTAATAATCTCCCGTTGGAATTTAGGACTAATTAAACCAACACAAGTATTTTAATTCTCAAAGCTTTTACGTTTGCCTCTCAAACCCATAGGAGATCCACAAAAAGAAAAAGAACCATTGCATTTTATTTTTCAAAAGAAAAGCCGCCCAAGAAAAAAACCAACAACATCCAGAGAGGATGTGCAGAACAATTCAGTTATACTGGATTCATAGAGGAGAAACCACAGGGATGTTCTTTTTTTATTATCACTAATCATATTCATTGATCTTTATTATGGTCCACTGACTGTTAAAAAAATGTCCATCACACCTTCCAAACTGAAACATCAAGACAAGTGCCGTCTCCTGTCATGGAGAGATTTTATAAAAACTACAGCCTCCTAGAAGTTATGACTTATTTAGCCATTGTGTCTATTGTATGAAAAGCAAATAAAATAATGAATGAAGCTTTTTAATTCTTAGCCTATTACCAAATATTCATACACAGCGCCGTTTGCATGGGATTCTATTGTACTGGTTGCTGTATCAGTGCCAGTAAAGCAGTAATAGCTTATTAGTTCCAAATTGTTTGATTTACAGACTAGTTAAAAGTGCATTACTGCCACCAAATGATAAGGAGTTAAACAAGGAAACAAGACTCACCCCCAGAAAAAATTTATAAATAAAATAATATTTTTCCGAACTGTCTAACTTAACCCAACATAATAAATACTTAATCACATTTGCTCTCATAATTTTTAATTTATCTTTAAGTTATCTTCACTCTGCCAGTTTTTGATGGTCCTATTGGTTTTCCCATCATGCTTTCAATCATTTCCCAGTTTAAATTTCTAACTTCAAGATACTTTTCTGCAGCTTTCACTGTCATTTTGATTTTTTTCTGTTTTCCTTGTCGTCTGAGCACTACAATTGATCACTTCTACCATGAAAAGAAAAAAATCTCTCATTTTTTACAATCAATTTTATCCAATCAATGAATCTTCTGCACTTTTGGGACACTGCTGCAGAGGTTTTGAACTCTTCATTTGCTTAATCAGTTAATCTATAGAGCTGCATATATAATATGTATTCTCAAACTCCGCTGGTTCTGTGTTTCCTGATCTAAATGAAAGGTTCATTAATGGGATTCAGCAGGACTTAATGACAGGCAAATTAGGTAATTCAGCCGTTTGAATGAGGCGTGTTGGAGGAAGCGTGCAGGGACGGAGATACACTATATTGCCAAAAGTATTTGCTCACCCATCCAAATTATTGGAATCAGGTGTTCCAATCACTTCCATGGCCACAGGTGTATAAATTCAAGCACCTAGGCATGCAGACTGTTTTTACAAACATTTGTGAAAGAATGGGTCGCTCTCAGGAGCTCAGTGAATTCCAGCGTGGAACTGTGATAGGATGCCACCTGTGCAACAAATCCAGTCGTGAAATTTCCTCGCTCCTAAATATTCCACAGTCAACTGTCAGCTGTATTATAAGAAAATGGAAGTGTTTGGGAACGACAGCAACTCAGCCACGAAGTGGTAGGCCACGTAAACTGACGGAGCGGGGTCAGCGGATGCTGACGCGCATAGTGCGAAGAGGTCGCCAACTTTCTGCAGAGTCAATCACTACAGACCTCCAAACTTCATGTGGCCTTCAGATTAGCTCAAGAACAGTGCGCAGAGAGCTTCATGGAATGGGTTTCCATGGTCGAGCAGCTGCATCCAAGCCATACATCACCAAGTGCAATGCAAAGCGTCGGATGCGGTGGTGTAAAGCACGCCGCCACTGGACTCTAGAGCAGTGGAGACGCGTTCTCTGGAGTGACGAATCGCGCTTCTCCATCTGGCAATCTGATGGACGGGTCTGGGTTTGGCGGTTGCCAGGAGAACGGTACTTGTCTGACTGCATTGTGCCAAGTGTAAAGTTTGGTGGAGGGGGGATTATGGTGTGAGGTTGTTTTTCAGGAGCTGGGCTTGGCCCCTTAGTTCCAGTGAAAGGAACTCTGAATGCTTCAGCATACCAAGACATTTTGGACAATTCCATGCTCCCAACTTTGTGGGAACAGTTTGGAGCTGGCCCCTTCCTCTTCCAACATGACTGTGCACCAGTGCACAAAGCAAGGTCCATAAAGACATGGATGACAGAGTCTGGTGTGGATGAACTTGACTGGCCTGCACAGAGTCCTGACCTCAACCCGATAGAACACCTTTGGGATGAATTAGAGCGGAGACTGAGAGCCAGGCCTTCTCGTCCAACATCAGTGTGCGACCTCACAAATGCGCTTCTGGAAGAATGGTCAAAAATTCCCATAAACACACTCCTAAACCTTGTGGACAGCCTTCCCAGAAGAGTTGAAGCTGTTCTAGCTGCAAAGGGTGGACCGACGTCATATTGAACCCTATGGATTAGGAACGGGATGTCACTTAAGCTCATATGTGAGTCAAGGCAGGTGAGCAAATACTTTTGGCAATATAGTGTAGATGGGGGCCATGGGTGGCCATGGCCACCCTTAGCCAATCATTGGCCACCCCTACCATTTATTTCCCTCTAATACGGATGGTGGCAACAGTAATACTCTCAAGTGGATGATTAGAAATATTTAAATTTTTCATACATTAACACTTGCTTGACAACAAAAACACTGTGGTATATTATGGACATCAATATACTAACATTAAAGATGATAAGTACAGAATTCCTGCTCTTTTCAGAAATAGATTTTGTGTTTTATGGGGTAAAGAGAAATAATGCGTCTCTGCAAGTCACATAGGACTCTTCACTGAAACCATAGATAGATAAAGATTTTATTAAAACTTAATCAATAATAATTTTATGTAGATATTAGTACTTGTTAATGTCAATTTTATGCAGAATGATTTCTGATAAAAGTAGGTAAGTAATGACAATGGAAAAAATGTTCACCCAAAACTCAAACCTGAAAGAATTTTGTCCACTATACTTTTTAAGATGGGCATATACTGTGCGATTTCTTTCAATCGTTGCACGCAGCTACTGCCCACACTCTACGACTAACTGCAGGGTTTCGCAAGTTCACAGCTAACGATTTATGTCCGGCCCGATGCTCCAATGCGATATACCTGCTCACACTGTACGCCTAAAAACCTCGTCGGACTCAGCTCCACAGTGAGATGGCGCCACTCTAACTCGTCTATCCGGAAACTAAACGAGTAGAAGAGGAATATGAAGCTCATTAGAGTGAAACGCTGCCTTGGCAATTTGAGCAATTTTGTGCTGAAAACCTGAGAAGAAAAGGCGAGGACATAATTGAACAAAGACATGGCAACTATGGTCTGTCAATTTTACAGAAAAAACTCCATTTCACTCGAACCCCTGCCATGCTTCTGTGTTTACATCTGAGAGGAAGAATAAAAAAAACGATCCTTCTTTGCACATGCACCCTGAGCGATGCATGACGACGGTCGGCAGAAAATCAAGCAACCTCACGATTCCTGATGGGGAGGTGGTCGTGAGAGGCTGATCAATGTAATCCCTGTACACTTCAAGACACACAATCAGGCTGAAAGTTGGCCCAATCTAAAGATTCTCCCACGACTGGAAAATCTCCCCAAACTCGCACAGTATACGCCCGGCTTTATCTAGAAAGCATGGATGTTTGAATATATTTGTCTATTTGTTAGCAAAGGCTGTAGGAAAGTATAGTCTGTCTTTATTTAGAAAATATGAATGAGGTTGTGGTGCCTATCTACTTTCAGCCACCCCTCAGTGTACACTGGTTGTTGCCTGGCCACCCTTATAAAACTTTTCTGGCTACGCCTCTGGAAGGGGGCGTCTCCAATGTGCAGGACAGTGGACCCTGTGTGTCAGGATCAGGCTCCACGCATAAAAGCAAAACTGTAGATTTTTATTTTATTTTCATTACATTTTGCAATTAATTCAAACTCTGCAAAGCTACACGTGTTGGCCTCAGAGCACAAAATCTCAGCCAAATCTGTTAGAGCAGCAGCTGCTCTCTGGGCTCACAGGATCAGTTCTAAATGAAAATGCTTGTATATTTACCCTGGATACGTTGAGGTCGGTCATCAGCTGCTCAAAGGCCCGGGTCTCCTCAGCTTGCTTCTGGTTGTGCAGCGCGATCTTCTCGCTGAACTTCCTGGGGTTGGAGCCACCTGTGCCCGCGGAGCCGGACATTGTGCGGGCCGCAGTTTTTCAAACTTTACCGAGGGGAAACAAAAGTGGAGGACGGTTCCGGAGAGATGGAGTGGGAGCTTTATGATCTTCCAAGACCTATCTGAGAACGCCCCTGCAGATCCATTAGAGTCCCAATAAACCCTCCGCACATGAGCGCCAGAACCAGGTTGCCGCAAACTGATTTAGTTCGGCTCTCCGGGCTAATGCGGCTAAGCTAACGTTAAGCTGTCATAAAAGTTGTCAATCGATGACTTACAACAGAATAGATTAAAACTCCCTTTCTAGTTGATTGAAAATCACGCTGTAGTTTCGAGAACAGACAGGAAACACCGACGGCAACTTATCTGCGTATGTAACTTCATTTTAGCGCTTTTCCACAAACTAATTGTCTGAACGTTAAGATGATGTTAGCATGTTATTGCTAACATATGAACGAACAGCGGCAGCTAACCTGTTAGCTAAGCTGCTGGTCGGACCATCTCTTTAATTGTTTACAATTTATCCCTTTGTCGTATCCTGTGTGCTAAAAGGAAACTGGAGTTAATAACGCCGTCAGCTAAATGTTGAGACAAACAGCAAAGCGTAAACAATGTTTCAACAAGTGTCCGTTGGTCCCGCATTCATTGAATTTCTACTTTATCCCCCCCAAATGAGAGCAACCAGCCCCCAACTGAGCGAAACAGTCCACGCTGATAGTTGGATAGATATATCTGAGGTCTCCGGAGAAGAGGCGAGTACCGAGTTAATCCACGGACAGCGCGGAGATCTGAGACAAACTCCAGTCCGACGACTCCATGAAGATAAAGCAGCTCTGAGGGACAGGCTCGTTTTTTTGTTTTTTTCCTCCCCACTACCAGAATTTAGTTCTTTATAATTTCAGAAAAGTCCGCAGATTTCCTTTAGCTAAAGAGTCCAGGAATGACGGAGCCAGGAACGGCGGTGAGATCCACAGGCTTGTTATTCCCAATACTACTGCTGCTGCTGCTGCCTGCGAGAAAAACATTACCTTGTTAAACATAGTCAGTACTGCCGGTGGCCACGCGAGGGAGACAAAGTTACCCAGCCGATAGTATCTTGGATTATTAACCATTTCACGGTTGGATCACAAGATTGTTTTTTTGTTTTTTTCCTGTTTTCAGCCTGATCTTTAGGCATGGAAATAAAATATTTTTAATCCGTGAAATGGCAGAAAAAAGAAAAAGCTTTATCTTAATTTTATCACTTTATACTCTTTCCAGTTCCTGTCCTGTTAAACCCTTGTTGAGTTATTTGCTCTTATCTCTTCAAAAATAAAAATAGATAAAGCATTAACATAGAGATACACAAAAGGAAATTAGGGCAGATTTTATATTAAGTTAATTAAATGTTATTCAAATATCAACGCCTACACTTTGTTTTTTAATCAACAAAATACTGATTTGTTTACACTTTTAAATACTATTACTTAAGTTAAAAAGAAACACATCCTTTATGAAGTGCTTCATAGTACCTTGTTCCATTTATGACAGGAAAGCTTGGACTTGTAACTCTCACCTGTGAGATCTTTGATTTTAGCTGATTAAGACACACCAAGGCTTTGCGTTCGGTCAAAAATCAGGGGTCTGACCAGGATTTTTTTTTTTTTTTTTTTATCCAGATTGATTAAATGTTACATGTTGAGTTATTGGATTGCTGAGTCCATTTCTGCACTGGATTTAATGGGATTTTTTTAAGCACCTTTGGGTACAACAAATAATGTCTTGGTGGATTTTATGGAGAGCTAGAAAGGTAATGATCTGGCATAGCATCCCCAAGCCATGAAACGTCCACATCCATGTCTAACAGCAGGCAGAGGTTCTTGTCCTCTAAAGCTCTGTTTGGACACCAGAACATGTCCTCCATCAACATTTCAGTTGTAGACTCATCTGTTAAAAGAACATTATCCCATTAAGCTTGATATGAGTCTCCAGTCTCTCTGATATACTTCAGTCTAACCTTCTTGTATTTCTTAAAGGTTAAACATTTCCCCTGTGCACACCTCCACTGAAATCTGAATTTAAGTTCCTTTTTTTGTGCTGTAGAAATGCGCTCACACTTAAGAAAAACAGCAGACTTTTATAGGTCCTCTGATGACATATTAGGTGTTTTGTAAACTTTATTTAGCCTCTGATAGTCTCCTTTTAAGGCAAAATTGCTTAACAGCTGCAGTTGAGTATTGTTAGAGTTGTTGTAAATGTACCTCCAATTGTAGATTATTTTCTTTTCATTGACATGATTGATTTCAAAATGTTTGGGAACCTGATTAAAGGGTTTACCAATCTAATTCCCTCCCTCAGCTTTCCAGATCTCTCTGCTATCTCACACTTCAGCAGCAATGAAATGTCTGAGGTTGAAACAAGGAAAACCTTCTCATTCTCATTTTAAGCAAGGGTGTGCCAAATGTATTTATTGACAGTAATGCAACAATCTGTCGCCACAAGCAAGAACCAGAGGAAGAGGGCTCTGTCTGCTGGCAAAGCCTCAGCTCCACAGCCATTATATTCTATTCTGAAGCACATTTATATCAATGCTAATGGTGTCACCAATTTTTTTAAATTGATACTGGATCCACTACCCCACCTGCAAAGCATAAAAAAAAAAAAAAGCTGTTCAATCATTGACATTGTCAAAATAATCTAGCTTTTGTAAGAAAACATAATTACAGTCCAATTCTAAAAAAAAGCTTGCGGATGTTTGGGATTTTTTTTTTTTTATAAATTGACAGTGACGGTATAGGTGTCAAAAAGCACAGCATCCACACTGCAGGCAGCTATTTAAAAGACAAAAGTTTATGTTAGTTCTTAAATGAAGGTACTGTACATGTATTCCATTTTAGGGTACGTTTAAGCCAGGAAACATCAAAGACATTAAAGCCCCCCGTGTCCCATATGACTTAAATACCCCACCTGGTGTAGAATGTGAAACATAACTTCTTGTTGAACTGCAGCAAGCACAAACAACCACATTGCACTGCAGGAGCTTTATTCTAAAACAGGTAGAGTACACATCAGACTATGCATCAGGACATAATCCCACACTGTTCAGATCCACGTCATCCTCTGGTAACTTTATACAGGCTGAAAACTGAACAACCACATAATGAAGTCAGCATAGTCAGGCCAAAGGAATCTGAATGCTTGGAAAAACTTTGTGGAGTACTGCGCCATCTGCTGGAACCCCACCCACCCCTTAATTAATGTAATACTGCACATCCTTAAGCTCATGCAGGACATCCGTCTCAGGCTTTGCAAACATAAGCTATCGTTCATTAGAAACTGACAACATATAAAATATAAATAAAGACAAATTTGATGCATTTTGAAGATGTTTGAAAAGAAATTAAAGTTCCGTTCAAGATACAACAGAGTCTTTGCAAAATCAGCAGACATGTCCTCATTGCAGCAATCATAGACCCATTTTGATTGTAGAAGATAAATGGGCTAAAGTGGATAAATATTCAAATATATATATATATATATATATATATATATATATATATATATATATATATATATATATTATATATACTACGAGCCCTATGACTAAGAGGTCAGATTAGTGCCAATATAGGCTGGATTAAAGGAGCATATGTTAATTTGTCATGTCCATAGTCCATTCCCCCCCCCAAAAAAGGGAACAATCAAACAGAACAGCAAAAAAAAAAAAAATATTGAAAGTTTAGATAATGGGTGAAAGTCTTATATATATATAAAAAAATCAAATGCAAAAGAATAATTTCCTCAAAAGTTTAAATTGCACAGCAAAGTAAACAGTCCAATTTACCCCCTCAAAAAAGAAAAATCTGTTTTTATTGTAAATCTCTCTTAGGAGCAACAGAGGCATGAGATCAGAACAGGTAAACGCCTGGACTTTAACATGCTGCTAAGTACTTTACTACTGATGCTTAGATCTCTATATATCATATGGTAATCCGAAAGCTGACAAGGAAACAAAGTGTCTTTACATAGAAGGATCTTTAAAATAATCCCCATGCACAAAATTTTCAGAATAATACAAGCAAAAAAAAAAAAACATACAAATCTCACTTGCTGCAGCTATCCAATGAGATGCATGGAACAAAAATGGACATAAGAGCAGATGTGGAGATAAACCTGATATAAAAAATAATGCACAGGAATTTGCATAGGCAGAAATGAGAGGTGAAGTAGAGAAGGGGCTTTAAAGCAGCCCTTGGGTTCGGTTGTTTCGTTTCAGTGTCTGTAGCTCTTTGCTCTTCTCATTTTTTTTTTTCATTTTCCATAAAATTTCTTGTTGAGCAAGAAGATGAGCAGGTTGACGTTTACGGTGGCCTTGTCGAAGAGCTTCATCACCGCCACGCCTTCATACTGCAGCTGGAGGAGGTCCTGGGAGACATGACGAGTGAGAGAGAGATGAGCAAAAGATTAAGCTTACTGATAAAATTTTCTTTTTTTTCCCCATACAAAGTTTGAAAGTTTTCTTCAACAAAGACATCGAATGTTTACAAAATGCCTAATTGGTACAAAATACCAATTAGACAACCGGATTCTCACAGCTCCACCTACATGGATGATATTTACCTGATATTCTATCGGTAACGTCTCCAAGTGCACGCCCATGAACTTGGCCTTCACGTCAAACACACCAACAGTCTCCGAAGGAGAGATCTCAAAAATAGCATTCTTGTACCTGTACCAGGAAAACAGATTCAGTCAGAACTCAGAGCTGATTTGCAGCAGTAGAAAAGACGCAGTCATGTTTGCTCATCCATTAAAACTGCAAGTGTTAAAGAGGAGGAATCGTGTTGGAGTTGAAGACTCACTGGTTGGGCTGCAGGTCATCTATAGAGATCAGCACTCCCTTCTCATGGAGCCGAGCTGCTGTGTATTTCTGTGAAACCTGCTTACTCTTCTTGGCCTTGTTGTCGCCTGGTTTCTTTGACAACCTAAAAGCAAAAAGACAAAAAAAAAAAAAAAAGTCCATAAAGGTTTTTCTTTGTTTGCTTTGTTTTAAAGGTAGATTCTCCGTCTATATGTTTTTAATATAGATTTAGTTTTGGAATTTTGAAACTCCTCTGTCAGGTTGATAGTTTGTTGCACTGAAACAGTAAAGAAAGAGCAGAACTTCTTCTTAATTTAGCCACTAAAGTAAATTTTTTTCAAGCTTAAAAACCAAAATCTCACAAAACATGTTGATTGTAGGAGGAATATATAGGCACATTTGTTAATTTCACCGTTGTAAGCTGCTCCTTCACTATTGAAAAGCTGTATGCATGGAAATTTCCTTTTGTATACACTTTGTTTATACAACATGACAAAGTTTGTCTAAGTCACATAGCGGATGACCAGCAGGAGGTCAATATGAGCTTATGCATAATTCAAAATTAGATTAATTCTGTCACAAATATTTCTCTGAAAAAATTAAGGAACAAGACTGAAAATGAAAGAAAACTAAAAAGAAACAAATTCCCCAAAAGTCAAAGACTTTCAAAGAAATATAAATGCATTTTAAAAAGCTTCAAGGAAAACACATTTTCAAGAGATACTATCTTTCTGACTGGGATGGACTGGCGACCTGTCCAGGGTGTACCCAGCCTCTCGCCCATTGATTGCTGGAGATACGCACCAGCACCCCTCGCGACCCCAATTGGGACAAGCGTGTCAGATAATGGATGGATGGATGGAATATCTTTCTGAAGTGGTTTAAATTTTTTGCACGTTTTTTACATTAAACTACCTCCCTGTAATATAAAGCAATGCAAGAAAAGCAGATCAGCTCCATTTTATCCTTTCCCCTAAAAAAGGTAATTAAATGGCGAATAAACAGAAAAATAAAAATAAATAACCTTACTAGCTAGGGAAAATAAACACATAGTTTGATAGAACAACATGGATTCCATATTTGTGCATCAAATAAATAAATAAAGCTTTCTAAAAGCAGGATATAAATCCGTAAGCAGTAGAAGACATAGACTGGGACTGGTTTGCTTTCTAAACAATGGCCGAGTTTCTTTCTAAAAATGAAAAAGTTATGATTT